TCTTCCCCCTCACCTCTCTCTCTCTCTCTCTCTCTCTCTCTCTCTCTCTCCCTCTCTCCCTCTCTCTCCCTTTCTCATACGCTACACGGGACACGGCCGGTCGCACCGCACGCCCCTGCAGCTAGCCAGTCCCTAGCCTGTCCGACGGGCGGCGCACTCCCCAGGCGCTTTCAACAGAAACCAAAACCGACGACTCCGATTTCGCTTTCGTTATTTACTTGTACACTTCGCCGACTGCTATCTAACGTATTACGGCGGTAGCTTCCAAATCTATCCCCTCCCCCGCACTATCTCGAAACAAAAAGCACAAAAAAAATAAAATCGGGAAAAGTGCATAATAGCGATCCAGACGAGTCGCGTGTCGCAGTGAGTCGCTCGCCCCACAGTCCGGTATGAGTGAACCGCAGTGTCACAGTGAGTCAGCTGGGGCAGAGAGGCTAGCGGTCAAGCAGGAGCAGGCCCGCGGGCCAGGCACACGAGGTGGGTGCGAAGCCGACCCCCGTCATAAGGTATAATTAATTTCCATGTCTCTCTCTCTCTTACTCTCTCTCTACTTGTTGCCTCGCTACTGAGTCGCTTGGTCACACTAGCTACGCGGTATAGTGGTTTGCAATGCGATATGCGTGGGAGGGCAAGCCGCCCACCCGCGCTCACCACGACGGGCGTGTTCACTTGCATCCTAAACACACACGCTGTGTGCGTGTGTATGTGTGCGAACGCATTGCTCACTACGCAGCAAACAGCCACACAGCAAATACAAACACAACGCGGCCAATACCTGAGGGAGGAGGGGTGGGGGCGCAGCGCACGACGATTCCTCGAAAACCAGCAGCGCTGGCAAATAATGGCAAATTTCTTGTGCGCACTGGCCGTGCTAGGGTTGTATTAGAAGCCCTGAAAAGATATCGGAGAGCTGCCGGAAAATTGCAGGAAAAATATCAGGAAATTTTCGGAAAGTTTTCAAAAAGTTTCCGGATTTCCACACGGATATCACCCAAAACCATTTGAATGTTTTTTCTCAGATATTTGATGGTCTCTGGTGGGGTAACTATTCAAAATAAGACCCCGAGGAGCAAAATTTGTGACTTTTGGGGCCGACGGCCTATTTACGACTCTGCCTTTTCCCCGACTCGGGTCTCAGCGCCGCGCCTCAGGCCTAGGTAGATGTATGCCATGCGCGTCGCAGCGTAACGGTGTTTCGTGAGATATCGCGAAGCCTGTTACGCGAGACGTGGTCTGGCGTACATCTACCCAGTTTACTTTGTAGTCATATACACTCGAACCAACTGTCAACCGTGTACACATAAGGAAAAAACAGAAGGGGGGGGGCGCACACATTCATTCGTGTTGTGATTTGGCCCTCGTTCGCGCTGGCTCAGCGCGAGATTAAAACCTGTGTGGTGTGGGATTGAAACTCTGCCGGAACAACTTCGACAAGAGTCATCGACACTGGATGAGAGGCCGATTTTAGGGATCATCTGGAAAGTAGATACAACTCCTCCGCCGTTTACGCCGTTGCGGAACAAAATGCCCCGTTCAGCAGTTTAGTCCAATGGAGGCTCCCATGGCGCCTGATGGGTAGGCAACATCTCGCCTGCAGTGCACGGGTGCACCGCTGGTTGGCCTACCCCGATTTCCGCAGGCGCCGACCTCTGATGTCATTTTTGCCCAACTAATCGCTGCGTGAAACCGAGTTGCAATTCGTGA